CGGTGTTGTGGGAATGGTCAACTGCTTTGGTCGTATCTCTCGCACGGGAGAAACATCTACATTAGCAGGAGAAGCGAATGTCTCTTGAGATTGTATGATATTCGTGTCACTGGACTGCTGTGAGCGAGCTGAATGCATGTTGCATAAAATTACACATTACGGCTAAAAAAGTATAACTGTCCAAACTGTTTGGTATTTATGAAATTTCTGTGAAATTGAGCCCATAGAAAATTTGGTAATCACTTTTAGAGGTTTAAAAAGGCATATGGAATTAGCTTGGATATAATATACATGGAAATCGAACACTCGACAAAGTAGTTGCAGAAGTTGAGAAAATTTAGGATTAGCAAATAGACAAACTACATAGACAACAAATTGCGTGGAGAGATAATATTTAGCCCCAACGGTCCCAGTTTACACATTTTTTTAAAGATTTGAAGGGAAAACTTGTACGATCGGTTAATGAAATATTCATCCGCTGCAACTGCACGAATGCCCTTGCTCTTCTGGTTGAAGACGTTTGCTGACTTTATTCAACGAGTATAAAGCTTCTTTTTAGATTTTTTTGAAAATGTCCCACTTTCACATAGTCATGTTCTGTTGTTGTAATATGAAATTCTTAAATAATCATGAATCATTGACATGTATTACTAAACTTGATGGCAGAAAATAAATTATGTGTTTTAAAGAAAGTGGAGAAAGTAAATGAAAATAGTAGATGAACTAATTTGAAATCTAGAGAGACTGGTCAAATACGTTGATAAGGAATAAGTTTATCGTACTTCTTCCATTTAGAGAAAAGTAACTTCTTACCTAAACAGTCCTTATTGACAACGCGTAGATAAATCATTTTAGCAGCGGGAACAGTGACGTCGTCACCTTCATCCAGAAAGAAGTGACATATATGTTGCACGGTATCGTACACAATCGAGCGACAGCGAGACTAGAAGAAGTTTGCAACAGTTCGCATAATGTTGATGAAATGTCTTTATTTTAATTAAAAAATATCGAAAATAATAAGGAGAGAAGGGGGATGAAATTGGCAGTGAGGTAAAGTTTTGAGGAAATGCTCCCTACTAAACAATAGAGAACAAGCAAAAGACTCTCTTCTTAGAGAATGTTAATACTACGGATATTAAACGTAATAATAACAATTATAATTTTATTGAATTGTTTTGGCGATTTTCCTCCATTATCCTCAATTATAGATTAGCACAGGTTTCAATTTAGGTCCAAAATTTGGAGTTTTCTAATATCTAATGAAGGACGTACCGCGGTGTCGCCACAAAATTGCAAACAGTTGTCTTCAGTCCGCATTCTCCATTCGCTGTGATATGGTTTGACATTTACCAGTCGAATATTCGCATAACGTTGGAAACATGGTCGCAACTCTAAAAGAGATGCGGTTAGCTGCAAGAGATATTATGTCCCAATACAAAGCTGAACCCAGTAGTCTTGAGTCTGATTCTTTGAAAGATTATGAAAGCCAAACGTAAATGCATAAACTCGATCTAAACTTGTTTTAGCTCTCCATACTTCATTTTCTGCAGAGCAAAAGCAGAGAATTTGTGCGGTCGACAGCGAGAAACTACAGTCACTGCAATTAATCCTTCCTTAGCAAACAAATTAGTGTTACTGTTTCTTTTAGAAGTGAACATTTTTAGAGGTATTGCTCTCTAAGTACATAAGTATAAAGAAACAATCAGAACTCCACTGTTGTTTTCTGGCGCTAAAATGAAGGCAAATCTGTTGAGGATGCATAACAATTGGTATCCCCTATTGATGCATTAATTACCATAACTCTCAACTCAACTAAATAATCGCCAGTTTTTTCAAATTATGTGAATGGTAATCGTGTTCTTTTTTTCGCAGTAAGACAAATCATTAATTTATTGCATATGCTCTACAAAAAATCAAATTTTGAAAAGATACTTGATCCTGCAAATGACAATTAGCCCTTAATATTAGCTATTAATATTGTAAAGCAAAACTTTACAGCAACAGCAAAACAATAAGATTTAATGAAGACAATATTGATGGATTACAGTGCAGATCGTGACACAATGATATAATCTCTAGAGATGAACTCCAGCTAGAATAAAGAAAGATTGAAGAAGAAATATTGGTAACGATCGACTGAGTTTGCAGACTGGAAAGTCTGTTTGTTTATAAACAAATGTTTGCGTAGATTCCGTTTGAATGAAGCTGATAAGTAGAAAATGACGGTCTTTACATTCAAACCAAAAAGGAATTTGTAGAGAAAGAGCAAGAAAGATGTATGAAGGAAGATAGAGGGAAATAGAACCTAGCCTCTAGTTCGTTATAATATCTGCAAATGTGGTTACGAAATCAGGACAGGGGAAAAAATCCTTGATGAAAGTTAAACCTTTGCACAGTCTTCATCGTCACTTTTCGTATAGCATTCTTGTTTGAGAGATAAAAACTACTCTGAGCGATTGTCGCCACTTGTCTTTCCTAAAAGTCT